GGCTTTCCTAGCTTTGGCTCCTACTTCTGCCTACTATTTTCACATGGTTTCAGAGTGATATTCTCCTGGCCTGTGGGCCCACCACTTCACTGCTTCCGTTGCTACTGCTACTCCCTAGCCACCGCGCGCCTCGTGGTGCGCGGCGTCGAAATTAGGGTTTTCAGCCCCCCGTGCTCCCCGAGGCGCGCGGCGGTTCTCTGCCCGCCGTGCCTCCCGAGGCGTGCGGTGGGTTTCTGCCCCGTCACTCGGCGCGTCGCCCGCAGGAGGCGTTGCGACGGGTGACGGGGACTCGCGCGTCGCTCCGCGTCGCCCGTCATGGCCGGCGCGCGGCCCGTACAGGCTCCGCACGGCCCGTACGGGCTGCGCCAGGCCCGCGTGCGACTCGGGCCGCCTGCGCGATGTTCGGGCGGCTGTGCCAGGCCCGTGGGCGGCCCGTTCTTCGCTGCCCCTGCGCTGCCCGCTGTCCCCCATGCCTCTGATGGCGCCCCACCCCTCCTGCAGCCCGTTCTCCTGGATTAGGGTTTGGGGGTGAGGGGTATGGGGGTGCAGCTTCTGTGTGCCGTCCCCTGCTTCTCCTCCTCCTCCGTCTCCCAGTTCTGCAGCTGCCGCTGAGGGGGGTGGACCTGTTGGAGCCGTCGGAGTGGTACTAAGGGGGGTGAAGGGGGAGTGGAGCTAGGGGTGAAGCAGGGGGTGTGTGTCAGGAGGGGTGGGACTGCTTGGGGAAGTTGAATGGAGGTTGCCGTCGTGTCGCCAGCAGCACCTGTAGTCCGGGGAGTTGCTCTGGTAGCCCAGTCGCAGCCACCTGTGCCAGTCGCCCGTGGGTTCGTTGCTCGTCTGCCGCTACTTTTAGCCGCCGGGCCAGTTACTCCAGCCGTTCGGAGCGTTGTTCTGGTAGCCGCTGTGCCAGTGTGCCTCCTGTTGCACGTGTGTCTGCAGCTTCAGTCGTCGCCTCCTATCTCCTCTCCTCTTACAGTCTCACCTCCTCCTCCTTACTTGCCCTTTACGATAGCCTCTAGCTTTGCTTACACTTGTGAACTTTAAATTGTTGCTTCTTGAACTTGTGCTCAGAATGTGTGGTGACATTGTGATCCACCCTGAGCTTGTTCTACTTTGCTTGATCTGCTGATTACACCCAACTTTTGCTATGGGGGTGTGTCAGAATGTTATTATCCTCTAGCCTGCAGTGGGGTACTCTATAGCGAGCACAACCCCTTTAGGGTTTCATATATGTATCTTGCTGCTTTCTAATGAAACTCTCTCTCTTTGCCGAAACTGTTTCTTGCCTAGCTAGGGCTTTCCTAGCGCCTACTATTTTCAAAGTTCTCCGCCTGCCTTCAAGGCGCGTTACGTGGCCCGAGGCTTCAGTCAGCGGCAGGGAGTTGACTACTTTCAGACCTTCTCTCCCACCCTGAAGATGACCACTCTTCGGGTGCTGCTACACATAGCCGCTCAACGCGACTACGAGCTTCACTCTCTTAACTTCAGCACAGCTTTCCTGCAGGGCAGCCTGCACGAGGAGATCTGGCTACACCGCCCACCTGGCTTCACTAGGTCGCTTCCTCGTGGTACCCAATGGAGCCTCCGGCAGCCAGTCTACGGTCTTCGCCAGGCGCCCCGTGAGTGGCACAACACAATGAGGACTACACTTGCGGCTCTTGGGTTTGCTCCTTCTACTGCCGACCCGTCGCTGTTTCTGCTCATCGACACCTCTTTGCCGCCGTTCTACATCCTCGTGTACGTCGACGACTTGGTCTTTGCCACTGCTGACACTGCTGGACTCGCCCACGTAAAGTCCGAGCTGCAGAAGAGACACACGTGCACAGACCTAGGTGAACTGCGCAGCTACCTTGGCTTGCAGATCACCCAGGACAGAGCACGGCGCACCATTACTCTGACTCAGTCACACATGGTGCAGCAGGTCCTTCAGCGCTTCGACTTCACGTACTCCTCGCCTTAGGCCACTCCTCTGTCTACTCACCACTTGCTCTCAGCTCTGCCTTCGGATGAGTCCGTAGAGCCGAGTGGCCCGTACCCAGAGCTTGTTGGCTGCCTCATGTACCTGATGACCTGCACACGACCTGACCTAGCATACCCTCTTAGCATCTTGGCACGCTATGTTGCTCCTAGAAGACACCGACCAGAGCACATGGCTGCAGCGAAGAGGGTGTTGCGCTACTTCTGCAGTACGTCGGGCATGGGGCTAGTGCTTGGAGGGCGACGTCGAGTAGTCCTCACAGGTCACGCAGACGCTTCTTGGGCTAACGACCAGGCTACGCAGCGGTCGTCACAGGGTTACACCTTCAGCCTTGGTTCTGGCTCTGTTTCGTGGCGGTTTACCCGCTCGTCTTCCGTTCTCAGCTCCAGTTGTGAGGCTGAGATCTACGCGGGGGCTATGGCTGCACAGGATCTACGCTGGCTCACCTACGTGCTGACTGACCTAGGAGCGCCGCCTTGTTCTCCTCCAGCTCTGTACGTAGACAACAAGGCCATGCTGGCCTTGTATTGGGAGCACAGACTCGAACACAGAACGAAGCACATTGCTCTTCGCTACTTCCTTGCTCGTGAGCTGCAGCAGCGTGGTCAGCTGCGCCTTGCTTACGTGGCCTCTGAGGCCAACACTGCTGATATCTTTACCAAGGCACTTCCGCATTGTGATCATCAGCGCTGCTGTACGATGCTAGGTCTTGTGCCTACTTGGCCTCACTTGCTCACTTCTTGACCTTGCTTGTACTGTGATCTTTCTATACCTGCACTTGCTTATTTACCTTTATATATGATCTTGAATGTGAACTGGCCTTGTGGCCTTGCTCTTGTGCTCGGAATGTGTGGTGACGTTGTGATCCACCCTGAGCTTGCTTTGCTTGACTGGTCTTGTGACCTCTTGTTCTCCCCCACTTTGCTTATGGGGGTGTGTCAAACTTATATTATATAGCTTGTCTAGGCTATAGTGGGGTAGACACTATGGGGTACAGTTTCCTAGGGTTTCCTACTTGTACCCAACCTTGTGTTAGTTCATTCATTCCTCATTTTTCACACCGCGCACCTACTGTTACCGACGGACTGGTACATCAGCCCATCGTTCCACGTCAGCCTACGCCCGTATATCCCAACCACCAGCCAACTGCCTCGTCATCGCCCGCCTTCCATGACTCGCCCTGCATCAGAGCCGATCATCGAGCTCGAAAAAATTCTGAGCCATCCTATTCGCCACCCCACGGGAATCAGGAGGATTGAATTCCTCGTTTGCTGGAAGGACCGCACGCCAACTGAAGATAGCTGGGTGCCCCTGGCCAACATTGAAAACCACCCTGCCGTGCAAGTGTACCTGAGAAGCCGGGGATTCCGCGACATACACGCACTCGCGTAGCGGAGGGGGCTTCTTAAAGGGGGGGGGGGGGGGGGGGGTAGTGTAAGGAATTTTCTCGGCATTCCTTACGGAGCCCGACTACATCGCGTACCTCAACAGCCGTTGTTCGCCCGTTACTGCTAACGGGTCTTCACCAATTTCGCGCGCAGTGTTTTGCCAAACCTCGCACTGCTGGCCCGGCCGTGTCTGCCTACGCTTCGGGACTAGCCCGAGCCTCGCTGCCTGCATTGCAATAGCTAGCTTGCACGCACCGCGTAACCGTTTGCATGTTTCGCGTATAAATGTTCGCTCATGTCTTCGCTCACATTTTGTATTCGTTTGACACTTAAGTGGAATCCTCGCTACCTCGATCCATTGCACCCGTAACGCGATGACGTCACTGCAGAACTGCAACGGAGTTCCTTCCTGGGGAATCGCGTGGGTCTTGCCATTGATAGAATGTGGGTGAGTTGGCGGTTTCTGGTGTCCGAAATATACGACAGACATTCCCTAGTCGCTGAAGTTCGAACATTGTGCGACGCAGTCTGTTCGACTGTGACTGTTTTCAACTTCGTACGTGTGCAGCGCGACGGACTCACTGATCACTTATGACGGCTCTTGTTACCAGCCCGAGTGAACCGTCGGTGGTTCGAGCCTTCGATTGGCAAAAATGGTGCCGCGTTCTTACAATCGGTGCATTGCGGCTTTTTTTAAAGCTCGCGTCTCATATTTCTGCTATCCAACCAAGTGTTAAACGGTTGGAATTTGGTAACAGCAAAGTTTGTCGCAAAGCACACCAAAGCAAGGGGTGGTTTGGGAAAGTTGGCTGTCGCACACTTCCCGTGCACACCAAGCGTTTACAACTTCCGAAAATATGAGACTCTGAAACTCAACGTTGACAGAAGGGGGGACCGAACCTGTCCCCCTTGGCTCGTTTTCTTCCCAAACCAACCCATCCTGGTTTGTTTTGGCCTCGACTGTTTTGGTAGTTCGCTGTGATTTTTCGCCCGCTCGTCAAATATTTCGTTTTCGTTGCCCAATCACAGTCAAGCAAACCCAACCAAGCGTTTAACGGTTGGAAATATGAGACGCGAGCTTTAAGGGCGGGTCCAGCGCGTACATTTACAGGTGCCGTACAGTTCATTCGTCGTGGTTTGAGACAATATCAGGCGGTGCACAGCGGTTTTGGAATCGCACCGTTTTTAACCATGACGCAATACAGATTACCGTGCTGGATGAACTGTATTGTATGGAAAATGTACGCACTGAACCCGCCCTAATAACGTTCCAGCCGAAGTACTTGTCAAAAGTGGCAATCTTCGAAGTTCGATCCCCCTAGAGATCGGCTATTGACGGTTTTAAAGCTGGTTCTGAAGGTTAAATGGACAAAAAACAGGAGTACACTGCGGTGACGAATTGATAAATCGGCCCAAAACCCCCATCTTGCTAACATTTCCTGTACCACGTCCTAACAAAAGGTGCGGCCAGGCAGATGGAGCAGTCGTCTTTGCTTGTAGATTCTTAGCAAGGGAAGCCGTCACTCAGCAGCATCAGCTGCCTCTCGATTTAGTGAAACAGATTTAGCGTTGAATCCATCTCAGGGTGGATTCAGCGTGGGATAGTAGTTGTATGTCGCAGCGGGTTTTCGTTTCAAATGGAGCAAATTCTGGCGGACGAGGCGCGGGGGGATGTGCTTGTGATCGACGGCCGGCAGGTGGCGGGCGGCGGCGACGTGGCGGCTCTGTGGAGCGCGTGCGAGGAGAGGGTGGCCGTTAGGGGCGCGCGGTGAGTGGCGCGCGGAGAGTGGCGCGCGGAGAACGATGGGAACATGCAGCTGGGATATATTCGATCCTTAGCGAGAGGGGCGAGGGGCGGGGGGGGGGGAGGGGAGATTGAGGTCGAGGCGTGGCGGGCATGAATGGGGAAGCAGAGAGCGCAGCGGGCGATCGATGGGCGGGAGACCCGCGGGAGCGGGCGTTTGGGGGAAGATTTGAGCGGAACGGAGAGAGAGGGCAGGGAGGGGAGAGAGGGGGAGGACAGAGAGGAGGTAGATCGAGGAGGGGAGAGCGGAGAGGGGAGAGGGAAGAGGGGAGAGGGTGGGGGGGTGATCAATGTGTTTAACGAAACTGTTGATATAACAAAAAAGTCTGACATGCTTTCCCTCTCTTCCTCCTTCCCCGCTCCCCCCTCTCCGCCTGGCATGGGATTGAATGGGGCGGTGCGAGGGCAGCAGCGTGGAGTGGAGGGCAGAGGGCGTGCTGCGCAAGAAGCTCACCACACCGCATGCCATCTCGCAGGTGCTGCCCTCATTCCATTGCTCTCACGCCATTGCTCCCAATGCCTGCTTAGCATCATTGCGACCCATCACCACATCTCACTCCATCCTCCTACCTTCCCCTAACCTCCCACGCATACCAGCTCGCTTCCCGCTCCCCCCTCTCCCCACCCTTCCTCCTCACCACCCATCCGTGCCTGTGCCCTCTCCGGCCATGAGTGCAGGCAGCATGGGTGCGAATGCACGGGGAGGCGGCGCTCTCATCACTCGCGCTGCTGCACGCGCATGGCCTCACACTCGCCGCCACCAATGGTCAGTCCCTCCTGCTCCCTCCTGCTCCCTCCACGGCGAGCTGCAAGGGGTCAAGCCGATGAGCAAACGATGGGGTGCTGGTGGTGACATGTGGTGACATGTGGTGACATGTGGTGATGGGTCGCAAGGCTCATTGGCCAATGGTCCTCCCCTTGTCAACTGCCTATCAGTTTTCTTCCTCAACCCCTCATTCATCTGCTCCCTCGCCACCCTTCTCACACGCTGCTTCAAACTCTCTCACCCTGCCTGCCCTGCTCTCTGCCCTCCTTGGCCCGCCCTGCTCCCCCTGTCTGTGCGGCATGCAGGTGACATGCACGAGATGCCGCTGCCCTTCGCCTGCTCGCGCCTCTGGCCCCTCCCCATCGGCCTGCTGCTGCAGCCCCTGCCGTCCCAGCCGTCTCTGCATTCCCTGCCCACACAAACACACGCCTTCCCCCCATCTACACCTCTCCCCATGCACCCCCTCTCCCCTTTCGCCTCCGCACCTTTTCCGGCCTCCCCTCCATTCGCCTTCCCCATCCCCACTGCCACTGCTCCCTTCCCCTCGCCCGCCTCCCCCATTCCGTTCCCGGCTCTCTCCCCCCACACGTCTGCCATCACCCCCTCCCTACCTGCTCCTGCCACTGCCGCCACCGCCGGTGCTGGTGGGGCAGCTGGCGGGCAGGCAGGGCGGGCAGCGGGTGGCGCGATGGGTGCTGTTGACTGGGCGGATGGGGCAGTGGGTGGGGCGCACATGGGGGGTGCTTTCATGGAGGCAGGGTGCTTCACGCTCTCACATGCTCATGAGGAACTGCAGGTGAGGTTGCAGGTGGTGGTGGTGGTGGTGGTGGTGCAAATGGGCCAGTGTCATATTCCATCATCAATCCCACTCCCCACACAAACATTTACTTTCCACCTCTATCCCTCCGTTACCTCCTCCAATCACCCCTTCCGCCTCCTCCCACAATATATCCTCCACCACTCTCCTGCACTCCCCACAATGCACGCGCGCCTCCACTCTCTCCCCTCCACCCCTTCCCTTCCAGCCAGTGGCCATGGAGGTCGGGCCACCGTGGCAGCAGGGAGGGGGCGAGGAGGTGCTGTGGTCATCCACCGAGGTGCCGCTGCTCGCCACCTTCAACCACGGTCACGCCCCTCCCCTCCACTCCTCTTCCTCCTCACCTGGTGGTTTGTTTTTGTTGTTTTTGAATTATTATTTTTCTTTTAAAATAAAATTTTAGATACTTATTCGGGTGTATAACTCAGTTTAATGTTATTTGGGGGATCGGCAAACCTGGCCCAAATTGGTTTGCCCAAAATGGCTTGGTTGAGGAATTTGTCAACCCTTCATAATTTTCAAATAGAACAACTACATCATTCCCCCCTTGACTTCCCCAACTCAAATCCATCAATCCTGGCCACTCTCCCAAGCAACCTGTCTTTCACTGGCAACTTCATGTGCGTCCACACCATCATGTGCGGCCACACCATCATGTGCGTCCACACCATCATGTGCGTCCACACCATCATGTGCGTCCACACCATCATGTGCGTCCACACCATCATGTGCGTCCACACCATCATGTGCGTCCACACCATCATGTGCGTCCACACCATCATGTGCGTCCACACCATCATGTGCGTCCACACCATCATTTGCGTCCACACCATCATGTGCGGCCACACCATCATTTGCGTCCACACCATCATGTGCGGCCACACCACACCATCATGTTCACTCCAACCATTGCTTCACTTCCCACCGTCCATCCTCTCACCACTCTTATGCACACTCCATGCTCAAGTGGCCCATCTACTCTCCGCCTTCCCCCTTTGCGCACACCACAACCCTTCCCCCCTCAGCCCGCCGCCAGCACTCCGTGTGGCACCTGCGCTACCTCCCGCACCGCTTCCTGCACCAATCACCTGACGCCACGTCAGCAGCAGAGCTGGACCCGCTACTTGCCGGGCTGAGCCCCGTGTCTCCTGCAACAGCTGCAGCTGCTGGGAGGGCGGGGGGCCAGGAGAGCATGTCGGCAGGGAGAGGGGGCGGTGGGGGTGGGGGGGATGCAGGCATGGTGGGCGATCTGAGGCTGCAGGCGGGGCGAGGGGATGTGGGGGGGAGTGTGGGCAGTGGGGACAGGCGGGGGCGAGGAGGGGGAAGAGGAGGCGCGGCAGGCGTGGCAGCAGCGGCTAAGCTGAGTCGCTTCGCGGGGGGTGGGGGGGATGGGGGCCCTGGTGGAGGGGTGGGGGGGAGAGCAGCAGGTGGGCAGGCTGGGAGTGGTCGGGGGAGCATGGAGGGGCAGGCGGTGGGGGGAGGGGCGGGTGGGAGGGATGTGGGTGGTGGGGAGGCAAGGGGGGGAGGCGAGAGGTGGGATGCGGAGGGAGAGGGCGAAGGGTGGTGTGTGCGCATGACACGTGTGTGGACGGGGCTTATAGGCCAGGACAAGGCCTCCCACGTCCTGCTGCTCTCCCACACCCCCCTCCCCTCCTCTCCCCCCGGCCCCCCTGTCCCCTGCCCCCACCGCACATCCCTCCCTGCCGCCGTCGCGCCTCTCCTCAGTCCCTCGCCCCCCCGTGGCTCCGCCACTCTTGCCTTCTGCTCGCCAGCCCGCCAGCGCTTGTGGGTGCGACACGTGGCGTATGGGGGGGCAGGGAACGGTCCGGGCAAAGGGGAGGCGGAGGAGGAGGAGAGCAGGGCCGATGGGGAAGGGGGGAGTGGGGGAGGCGGGAATGAGGGCAGCGGGAGGGTGGTGCACATGGAGGGGCGGCGCTGCTGGTCGGTGGAGGCTGTCTCCGCTGTGGCTCTGAGGTGAGTCACTCCGCACTCTGCACTTGTTCACCACGTGGTGGCCGAATAGCGAGGTATATCAAATTGTTGCTTTCTGCACCCATCAGCCTCACCTTCCTTCCGGCATGTAGTGTTTGTGAATCATCGAGACTCCTTGAAACGAGTTCAAGTCCACCGGGGGACTTGGACGTCTGCTTGCTCCACTATCCACGTGCCACTGCCACCAGCCAAGGCCCTTCCCATGCCGCAGCGCAGCTGCATGAAGCATGCCACTTGTGAGCTGCACTCATGCCTTGCAGGCTCCTTGCGCCGTGTGCTGCACGATTGAACGCCTCCATCTCTCCCCCTTTTTCTCCCCCCTTTGCTCCCTGCGCCATCCATCGTGCACCTGCGCACGTGCCACCCTTCTCATCCCAGCCACACAGCTCCCGTCACCCCTCTGCACCGCATCAATCGCTTTCTCCTGGTTGCGGACTGGCATGGCTCGCTCACGCTGATGGTGGGTCATCACAGCCACCTTGCTTCCACTGCCTTGTACCACACACGCACCACTCAATGTATCCCTGGAGCACCTCACAGGCACCTCACAGGCACCTGAAGAAGGCCTGACAACATGACATGACATGGTAGGTGGCAAGCGCTGCCCTGTAGCACCGTGCCAAATGCTACTCAAGCGGTGCCCTGTAGCACCGTGCCAAATGCTACTCAAGCGGTGCCCTGTAGCACCGTGCCAAATGCTACTCAAGCGGTGCCCTGTACCACCGTGCCAAATGCTACTCAAGCGGTGCCCTGTAGCACCGTGCCAAATGCTACTCAAGCGGTGCCCTGTAGCACCGTGCCAAATGCTACTCAAGCGATGCCCTGTAGCACCGTGCCAAATGCTACTCAAGCGGTGCCCTGTAGCACCGTGCCAAATGCTACTCAAGCGGTTCCCAGTAGCACCGTGCCAAATGCTACTCAAGCGGTGCCCTGTAGCACCGTGCCAAATGCTACTCAAGCGGTGCCCTGTAGCACCGTGCCAAATGCTACTCAAGCGGTGCCCTGTAGCACCGTGCCAAATGCTACTCAAGCGGTGCCCTGTAGCACCGTGCCAAATGCTACTCAAGCGGTGCCCTGTAACACCGTGCCAAATGCTACTCAAGTGCTGCCCTGTAGCACCGTGCCAAATGCTACTCAAGCGGTGCCCTGTAGCACCGTGCCAAATGCTACTCAAGCGGTGCCCTGTAGCACCGTGCCAAATGCTACTCAAGCGGTGCCCTGTAGCACCGTGCCAAATGCTACTCAAGCGGTGCCCTGTAGCACCGTGCCAAATGCTACTCAAGCGGTGCCCTGTAGCACCGTGCCAAGTGCTACTCAAGCGGTGCCCTGTAGCACCGTGCCAAATGCTACTCAAGCGGTGCCCTGTAGCACCGTGCCAAATGCTACTCAAGTGCTGGCCTGTAGCACCGTGCCAAATGCTACTCAAGCGGTGCCCTGTAGCACCGTGCCAAATGCTACTCAAGCGGTGCCCTGTAGCACCGTGCCAAATGCTACTCAAGCGGTGCCCTGTAGCACCGTGCCAAATGCTACTCAAGCGGTGCCCTGTATCTCCGTGCCAAATGCTACTCAAGCGCTGCCCTGTAGCACCGTGCCAAATGCTACTCAAGCGGTGCCCTGTAGCACCGTGCCAAATGCTACTCAAGCGGTGCCCTGTATCTCCGTGCCAAATGCTACTCAAGCGGTGCCCTGTAGCACCGTGCCAAATGCTACTCAAGCGGTGCCCTGTAGCACCGTGCCAAATGCTACTCAAGCGGTGCCCTGTAGCACCGTGCCAAATGCTACTCAAGCCGTGCCTGTAGCACCGTGCCAAATGCTACTCAAGCGGTGCCCTGTAGCACCGTGCCAAATGCTACTCAAGCGCTGCCCTGTAGCACCGTGCCAAATGCTACTCAAGCGGTGCCCTGTAGCACCGTGCCAAATGCTACTCAAGCGGTGCCCTGTAGCACCGTGCCAAATGCTACTCAAGCGGTGCCCTGTAGCACCGTGCCAAATGCTACTCAAGCGGTTCCCAGTAGCACCGTGCCAAATGCTACTCAAGCGGTGCCCTGTAGCACCGTGCCAAATGCTACTCAAGCGCTGCCCTGTAGCACCATGCCAAATGCTACTCAAGCGGTGCCCTGTAGCACCGTGCCAAATGCTACTCAAGCGGTGCCCTGTAGCACCGTGCCAAATGCTACTCAAGCGGTGCCCTGTAGCACCGTGCCAAATGCTACTCAAGCGGTGCCCTGTAGCACCGTGCCAAATGCTACTCAAGCGGTGCCCTGTAGCACCGTGCCAAATGCTACTCAAGCGGTGCCCTGTAGCACCGTGCCAAATGCTACTCAAGCGGTGCCCTGTAGCACCGTGCCAAATGCTACTCAAGCGGTGCCCTGTAGCACCGTGCCAAATGCTACTCAAGCGGTGCCCTGTATCTCCGTGCCAAATGCTACTCAAGCGCTGCCCTGTAGCACCGTGCCAAATGCTACTCAAGCGGTGCCCTGTAGCACCGTGCCAAATGCTACTCAAGCGGTGCCCTGTAGCACCGTGCCAAATGCTACTCAAGCCGTGCCTGTAGCACCGTGCCAAATGCTACTCAAGCGGTGCCCTGTAGCACCGTGCCAAATGCTACTCAAGCGCTGCCCTGTAGCACCGTGCCAAATGCTACTCAAGCGGTGCCCTGTAGCACCGTGCCAAATGCTACTCAAGCGGTGCCCTGTAGCACCGTGCCAAATGCTACTCAAGCGGTGCCCTGTAGCACCGTGCCAAATGCTACTCAAGCGGTGCCCTGTAGCACCGTGCCAAATGCTACTCAAGCGGTGCCCTGTAGCACCGTGCCAAATGCTACTCAAGCGGTGCCCTGTAGCACCGTGCCAAATGCTACTCAAGCGGTGCCCTGTAGCACCGTGCCAAATGCTACTCAAGCGGTGCCCTGTAGCACCGTGCCAAATGCTACTCAAGCGGTTCCCAGTAGCACCGTGCCAAATGCTACTCAAGCGGTGCCCTGTAGCACCGTGCCAAATGCTACTCAAGCGCTGCCCTGTAGCACCGTGCCAAATGCTACTCAAGCGGTGCCCTGTAGCACCGTGCCAAATGCTACTCAAGCGGTGCCCTGTAGCACCGTGCCAAATGCTACTCAAGCGGTGCCCTGTAGCACCGTGCCAAATGCTACTCAAGCGGTGCCCTGTAGCACCGTGCCAAATGCTACTCAAGCGGTGCCCTGTAGCACCGTGCCAAATGCTACTCAAGCGGTGCCCTGTAGCACCGTGCCAAATGCTACTCAAGCGGTGCCCTGTATCTCCGTGCCAAATGCTACTCAAGCGATGCCCTGTAGCACCGTGCCAAATGCTACTCAAGCGGTGCCCTGTAGCACCGTGCCAAATGCTACTCAAGCGGTTCCCAGTAGCACCGTGCCAAATGCTACTCAAGCGGTGCCCTGTAGCACCGTGCCAAATGCTACTCAAGCGCTGCCCTGTAGCACCGTGCCAAATGCTACTCAAGCGGTGCCCTGTAGCACCGTGCCAAATGCTACTCAAGCGGTGCCCTGTAGCACCGTGCCAAATGCTACTCAAGCGGTGCCCTGTAACACCGTGCCAAATGCTACTCAAGTGCTGCCCTGTAGCACCGTGCCAAATGCTACTCAAGCGGTGCCCTGTAGCACCGTGCCAAATGCTACTCAAGCGGTGCCCTGTAGCACCGTGCCAAATGCTACTCAAGCGGTGCCCTGTAGCACCGTGCCAAATGCTACTCAAGCGGTGCCCTGTAGCACCGTGCCAAATGCTACTCAAGCGGTGCCCTGTAGCACCGTGCCAAATGCTACTCAAGCGGTGCCCTGTATCTCCGTGCCAAATGCTACTCAAGCGCTGCCCTGTAGCACCGTGCCAAATGCTACTCAAGCGGTGCCCTGTAGCACCGTGCCAAATGCTACTCAAGCGGTGCCCTGTAGCACCGTGCCAAATGCTACTCAAGCCGTGCCTGTAGCACCGTGCCAAATGCTACTCAAGCGGTGCCCTGTAGCACCGTGCCAAATGCTACTCAAGCGCTGCCCTGTAGCACCGTGCCAAATGCTACTCAAGCGGTGCCCTGTAGCACCGTGCCAAATGCTACTCAAGCGGTGCCCTGTAGCACCGTGCCAAATGCTACTCAAGCGGTGCCCTGTAGCACCGTGCCAAATGCTACTCAAGCGGTGCCCTGTAGCACCGTGCCAAATGCTACTCAAGCGGTGCCCTGTAGCACCGTGCCAAATGCTACTCAAGCGGTGCCCTGTAGCACTGTGCCAAATGCTACTCAAGCGGTGCCCTGTAGCACCGTGCCAAATGCTACTCAAGCGGTGCCCTGTAGCACCGTGCCAAATGCTACTCAAGCGGTTCCCAGTAGCACCGTGCCAAATGCTACTCAAGCGGTGCCCTGTAGCACCGTGCCAAATGCTACTCAAGCGCTGCCCTGTAGCACCGTGCCAAATGCTACTCAAGCGGTGCCCTGTAGCACCGTGCCAAATGCTACTCAAGCGGTGCCCTGTAGCACCGTGCCAAATGCTACTCAAGCGGTGCCCTGTAGCACCGTGCCAAATGCTACTCAAGCGGTGCCCTGTAGCACCGTGCCAAATGCTACTCAAGCGGTGCCCTGTAGCACCGTGCCAAATGCTACTCAAGCGGTGCCCTGTAGCACCGTGCCAAATGCTACTCAAGCGGTGCCCTGTATCTCCGTGCCAAATGCTACTCAAGCGATGCCCTGTAGCACCGTGCCAAATGCTACTCAAGCGGTGCCCTGTAGCACCGTGCCAAATGCTACTCAAGCGGTTCCCAGTAGCACCGTGCCAAATGCTACTCAAGCGGTGCCCTGTAGCACCGTGCCAAATGCTACTCAAGCGCTGCCCTGTAGCACCGTGCCAAATGCTACTCAAGCGGTGCCCTGTAGCACCGTGCCAAATGCTACTCAAGCGGTGCCCTGTAGCACCGTGCCAAATGCTACTCAAGCGGTGCCCTGTAACACCGTGCCAAATGCTACTCAAGTGCTGCCCTGTAGCACCGTGCCAAATGCTACTCAAGCGGTGCCCTGTAGCACCGTGCCAAATGCTACTCAAGCGGTGCCCTGTAGCACCGTGCCAAATGCTACTCAAGCGGTGCCCTGTAGCACCGTGCCAAATGCTACTCAAGCGGTGCCCTGTAGCACCGTGCCAAATGCTACTCAAGCGGTGCCCTGTAGCACCGTGCCAAGTGCTACTCAAGCGGTGCCCTGTAGCACCGTGCCAAATGCTACTCAAGCGGTGCCCTGTAGCACCGTGCCAAATGCTACTCAAGTGCTGGCCTGTAGCACCGTGCCAAATGCTACTCAAGCGGTGCCCTGTAGCACCGTGCCAAATGCTACTCAAGCGGTGCCCTGTAGCACCGTGCCAAATGCTACTCAAGCGGTGCCCTGTAGCACCGTGCCAAATGCTACTCAAGCGGTGCCCTGTATCTCCGTGCCAAATGCTACTCAAGCGCT